AACATTATAATAGGGCTGGGGTTGTGGCTCAGTGGTATAGTGCTTGCCTAGCATGGACGAGGCACTGGGTTCGACCTCAGCACCACATAAATGTAAAATAAAGATATTGTATCTAGCTAAAACCTAAGAATAAATGTTTTTAAAAAAATTCAAAAAAGAACATTATACTAAATGAAAGAATTTAGATACAGCATTATGCTTCTATTCAAATAATAATGGTGAATAGTTAAAAGTAACACATTGAGATAGAAAGCTCAGGTAGGGCTATAGAGGGGATTGAATACCAATGAACATGAAGGAATTTTCAGGGTGGTAGAAATGTTCTATATCTGTATTGGGGTGATGATCACAAAGTAGGATCTTTTTGTTAAAGCATGCATAAACTGTACACTTAAAGTTGGTGCATTTTACATATGTAAATCATATCTCAAAGTTGATTTTAAAACTATTAGGGCAGAGGGGTTGGAGGGAAAGGGAGGGGGCTTGGGGTTAAAATGATGCTGGAATGTGATGGTCATTATTATCCATAGTACATATATGAAGACACAAATTGGTGTGAATATACTTTGTATACAACTAGAGATATGAAAAATTGTGCTCTATGTATGTAATAAGAACTGTAACATTCCACTGTCATATATAAATGAAAATAAATTTTAAAAAAACTTTCAATGAATTCCTATAGACATTAGGATAAATCAAATTAGGAAGAAGGTCTTATATATTAGTTTGTTTAGTGTTGCTATAGCAGGATACCTGTTAGTAAGTATTTTATAAAGAAAAGAGGCTGGGGTTGGAGGCACTTGCCCGTAACTACAGCTACTCAGGAGGATCCCACATTTGAGGCAAGCCTGGGCTACTTAGCAAGATTCTGTCCCCCTCCCAACCGCCCCCCCCCCCAAAAAAAAGCTGGGAATATAGCTCAGTGGAAGAGCACTCCTGGGTTCAATCCCTAGTATTGAGTAGGTAATAAAAGATCTTTATTTAGCTCCCAGTTTTGGAATCTGGAAGTCTAAGTTCAGGCAGCTCCATCTGTTTAACCTTTGGTAGAAAGGGAAATGACCATATACAGAAGGGGTCAAGTACTTGGGGTGGCCTTGCTTTATAACAACCCATTCCTGAGACCAGCATTAATTCCTTCCAAGGCAGTGCCCTCATGACCTAACTACTTGGCTCTAGGTCTCATCTTTTACATGTTTTACCACCTCAACACTGGCACAATGGGGACCAAGATTCTAGCATATGCACCTTTGGAGGACACACTCAAACCATATCCCAACTGCCACCTCCTATAATATCTCACCCTTACTCGTCCCTCTGTAATTCCAGTCATGTTGGGTCCAGACATGTTGGGCTTCTCTCCTCCATTAGAACATGGCCTGCTCTCTCCCAGCTCTTGACTATTGCAGCCTCTCTTTCCTGGAATGCTCCCTCTTCTCCCTACTCTTATTCATCCTTATTTCCTTTCTCAAGAAAGTTATCTCCCAAGTCTTAAACTAGGGTAAGATTCCCCCATATGCCATATGCACTATTACTTTCTATGTTTTTTTTTTTTTTTTGAAAATAATGAATAGTTATTATATTTGACAATATAGTTTAATATAACATTTGGAAGTATAAAGTTATATTCTCCTTTGTTTCAGAAGCTTGTATAGTTAGGGATGTTTATTTTGTTCACTACTCTTCCCCCTAGTGTCTAATATAGGAAATATTTGCTGATCGAACAAGCAAATAAAAAATAATTAATATTCTAAAAATCTTAAATGTAATCTGAGCAAATCAAATAGAGCAATATACTAAAATATTATTTTAGGAATTAAAGAGTGGTTTAGTATTTAAAAAGGTATTATTATATAACTCATTGATTAATATATCAAAGGAGATAAAGTATCTAGAGATGGAAAAAGGAATTGGATGAAATTCAGTATATCTCCCAATAAAAACAAAACAAAAATCACACCTTTTAGTGAACATGAAAAAGTTTGTTTTACACAGTAAATATCTGAAACTAAAATGGTACCTAACAATGAAATCCTGCAGACAAGGATACCCCTTGACACAATTGATTGTCAACATTATTTTAGGGTCATTAGATAATGCAATAAGAGAAGGAAAAATAATCAAAAAATGACACAGTCATATGCAGATTATGACTTTCTATCTAAAAATCCAAGATATTTCACTGTAAATTTTTAGTAAGAAAGTTCAGCAAGGTGATCAGTTATAAATACATAAACACAAATTATAAAAATGATGTATTTAAAACAATACAGTATCAGGGCTTAGTGGTAGAGCACTTGCCTGGCATGTGTGAGGCCCTGGATTCGATCCTCAGCACCACATATAAATAAATTAAATAAAAGATCCATTTACAACTAAAAAATATATTTTAAAAAAACAATACAGTATTGGCACTAGAATTGGTGTAAGAGTAAATGGAATAGATTAGAAGTGTGGAAATATACTAAATTTGCCATTTAAAAAATTAGTTTGAAATGATGATTAGAGAAGAATGGATTACTGAAATAATTGTTTTAGGACATCGATAAGTGTATTCAATTAGGAACATATGAGTAGAAACAATATTTAGATCTAATGAATCTGAAATTTAATAAATGAGACCATAAGAGTTCAAATGAAAATATACAAATGCATTGTGTATATATGTACAAATTATTAATGCTAGAGTTAGAGAACATTTTTCAAGCTGAATGGATCCTAACTACAAACACCACAAAGGTAAAGGCTAATATTTTGGAATACATGAAAATTTAAATTGATATTGTAAGCAAAGTTATGCAAAATGAGCACACTTAAGATGCCACAAAAAATATGACTATAATTTTTAAAGATTTCTTAAAATCAGTAAGCATACAAGTATAAAATGAGTAAAAGCTATGAACGTATTATCCACAAAAAAAGTACAAACTATAAATGAACATGTTAATATTTCAAATTAATAGTAACTGAAGAAACAAAAATTAGAATACACTGCCTTTCAGATGAAAAAGTTCAAAAAAATTTTTTAAATTTTTATTCCTAGTGCATATGGAGATGGGCAATTAAATGCAGATGATTGGAATGTAAGGTGCCTAACTTTCCTAGAGATCAGTATTATAAGATGCCTTAGCATGCAAATTCCTTCTAGAAATCTGTCCCAAGAAAACATTAGGCAATTTTTGCAGAAGTGAGTGTAGCTTTAAATGTAGCTTTCTTAATAATACTTAATAATTAGCGATAAGTGACTGAGAATAATTTGATACATTCATGAGTGTCCAGATAGACTTCAAATTTATGTTTCATATTTACATCTATTTTTATTTGCCATCTAAAGATGTACATTAATAGAAAAAAGTACACATATATAATGATACCCAGTACATACATATACACTCAAAGACATAGTAGAAACAACTAAGTATGAATAGTCACAAAAATGTTAAGTTATCTCTTGCAGGAATTATATATTTCTTCCATTTTTGTACTTTTTCCTCTGCTGAAGAATCTCTAATGAAAAATAGGATTCTTTCCAAAAATAATTCAAATATAGGATGCAAAGGGATGGGCTGCCAGATTATTTCCTTATGTTGCCATTGTGGTTGTTTTAAGTATATTGGGCACAAGGAAACCTGAATGTTTCAAAGGACTGGATGAATTAGCTCTTATTTAGATCAGCATTTCTCAAAGCACATTTCACAGACTCTCCTCATCAGGATCGATCTGCTGGTAGGCAAGTTGAAAGTTCAGTTCTTTTGGCCCTACCTCAGCTCTTTTGAACTAAAAATCACCAGAGGTGGGACCTAGAACTGGCATTCTAATTAAACACCAAAAGAGATTCTTATGTACACATATATTTGTGAACCTCTGTGACACCCCCCTATAAAGCAAGAAGGGAGACAATTCAAGGTCATTCTTGCAATGGGAAAAGGCTGCCCAGGATTTATAGCTGCAGTTTAGGTGAATTTTCCTTTACCTGTGTTTTGGCAAGCTTACTTCCTCCCCTATTGTGTTTGCATGTATAGTTAACTATTTCTCAACTCTATCCTTTTACCAATTTGATATTTTTACTTGGGGGTCAATATTACTTGGCTATAAATTTGTTTATGATATATAGATTGCCCTCTGTGTCTATAGGTTCTGCATCCATGAATTCAACCAACCTTGGATTGAAAACACTCAGAAATACTGAACATGAATATACTATACTGAACATGAATAGACTTTTTCTTGTTTTATTGTATTATTTAGGGAATAATAATAACCACTTACACAGCATTTACATTGTATTAGGTATCATAATCTAAAGATCATTTAAAGTATACAGGAGAATATACATAGGTTATATGCAAATACTAAATCCTTTATATAAGGGATTTGAGCATTTACAGATTTTGGTGTTTGAAGGGAGTTCTGGAATCAATCCCCTGTGGATACAGAGGATGACCTATTATTATCTAGTAGGACTAGATAACTGAGAGGTTTACTATTTTCCATGGAAGTCACTTTGGAGGGCCTCTTCCATTTAGATTAGATTTAAATAGCAAAATGTCATTGAAATCAACTTTTTATGGGCTACTTGGAATAGGAATATTCTCATCCAGCTACTCATAAAGGCTAAGTTGAACTCTTTCAAGGATTGCTTATCCTTAGTTACACATTAAAGTTATCTGTGGAGCTATTAGAAACCTAACTATATCCAGTCCCATCCCAAACCTCAGGGTCAATTATCTAAACCAGTCCTGATACAGTATGTAATAGGAAAAATGGCAATGTAGGTACTTTCTCTTCCAGTACCACCTACTTGGTGTTTATAGGGTCAGTCTATTATGCAAAACAGCATTAATTACCTAGTTCTAACAGATCCACGAAGGAAACTCAACCTAATTTCCACAGTAATTGGCTTCAGTACACCTTTTCTTACAGAGATAGTGATTGTTTTCTTTTCTATACTTCCCATGTGCCCTGAAACCACATCCCCCACACCCCCAACCAGGCCTTACCGGCATGGTGATCTGGATAGGTTGCCGTTCTCCACTCTTGGTTGGGGCCACACCTTCTGTGTCATATGTTCCCGTATAAACAACTCTGTCTCCATCAGGTTCTTTAGCCTTCAGCTCCAGTGGGACAAGCACACCACCAATGGAAATGTTCCTGCAATGAACTTGAGTTGACCATATATAGTAGGAATTAGGTTAGGTACCCTGTCTTGGTCTAGACCAAAACCCCGAGCAGGAAACCTACAGAGTTTGGCTAAGGGAGAAATATTTATATGATAGAAAATTCTGATTGGGTACAGTGGCATGTACCTATAATTCTAGCCACTCAAGAAAGCAAGAGACCCAGCCTGGGCAACATCATGAGACCCCCATCTCAAACAAAATAAAATAAAACCACCAAGAAACTTATGAAAGTTCAGGAGGCTTGAGTTCTCCAACTAATCAATCATGTGATCATAGACTAACTACTCTCTGGGCTAACCTCAGTATTCTCATCCAGATACACATAAAGGCTGAGTTGAACTGTATCAAGGATTGCTTATCCTTAGTTACACATTAAAGTTACCTGTGGAGCTATTAGAAACCTAACTATATCCAGTCCCATCCCAAACCCCAGAGATAGGGTTTAATTGGTTTGGGATATAATTTGGTACACGTAAATTTATTTTAAAGTTTTCGAGGTGATCTTTATGTGCAGGTCAGATCAAGGACTAGTTGAACTAACTCTGTAATTTTTTTTTTTCTTTCTGTTCCAACACTCATGGGTCCTGTTTGAGGCACTTTTTCTCAAGCCTGCTATACCACCAGAAATTCTTACTGGCACCATTCTGGTGTGTTAGGATCATTGTTCTTAAAGACAAGTCCCTGGACCAGCAGTATCCACATCTACTGTGGACATATTAGGACATACACTCTTATCTTAGGTACCACCCAAGACAGCAAGCCAGAGACATCAGAGTGGGCCCCAGCCATCTGTTCCAACAAGCTCTCCTGGTGATTCTGATGTACACTCACCTTTGAGTTAGAACCACTGGATAAAAAATCCTTGATAAAATTAAAATGTAAGTAAAAACAAAAATTGCCATTAACAAATAGTTTTAGGTTTGTTTTAACTCTAGAGAACTACTCTGAAAAAAAAAATGGAATATTGAATAGATAAGTTAGGAAAAGAGGTTTCCAGGAAAGGGAAAGGAAAAGCCTGGATCATATCCAGATGCAGGGAACACTGGGAAATGTATGGAGTTGTGTGCGTGTATGTGTGGGTTTTTTTTTTGGGGGGGGGTCCGATAAATAGGTAGATCAGAGACCCTAGAAACCATCCAGTTGTGGTTCTATATCCTTGCACCTTGAAGGCTAATATAAATTACTGAATTATAATAAACTATGGACGTGTCTGAGGGATTCAAAACCCCTTCTCCAGCATATGTTAGGATAAATGTTGATTTATTTCCTCCTTCCAGATGAGATTTCACACATCGCTTAGGTGGAAGCGGAGAGGTAAAGGACCCATCCATAGATTCTTCTCCCATAGGCTACTGACTTACTCGCCAGAGGTCTGCTGGGTGCATCATGTCATCCCTGTGGTAGCTGGGAGGAGATAATCCCTGCCTCGAATAAATTAAAAAAAAAAAAAAGAAAAACATCCTCTTGTAGTGAGGATATTAATCCCAGGCGACATCACCAGGCTGAACAGATAGCTAGTGAGAAAAAAGTAGAGGGCATGGAAAACCGTGACACTAGGCCTAAGCAGAAGCTACACCTTCAGATTTGTTCCTGCTCTTCCCGCGCTGGGGGTCCCCTGCCACCAAAAGGCAGATGGAGGAGTGGGGAGAATCCCTCAGGGAACACCAATAACTGCCCCTCCTCCGCCTTTACACTTCTTTCTCACCCTTTCTCCTTCCTTTGGCCTCGCCAGCAGAAGCCGGCGACACGCCAGGACCCAGCAGAGAAGGGCTGGGATTGCGGTAGATGAACCCTGCAGCGACCTTCTGCCATCTGCCCCAACCCTCCCCTTGCGGTTCCAAGGGTGGACAGAAAAGCAATTTACAAGAAAAACAACAACACCGCCCCCTCCCCCTCTGGCTTCTTGTCACTGATTTAAACGGACCCACTGAGGTCACTGCAATGGGTGGAGGGAAGCAGGAATCAGGAATACCAGGGACAGGCAGAGGAGAGGACCAAAGCGGGGACAGAGAGCCGACCTCTTTCCCTACCGCCCCCCACCCCCCACCCCCCGTCCCGAGTCTTCTGGGCAAAGGGAGACAAGGAAAAAAAAATCGGGAGCAGCTTAGTCTGTTCCGGGGGCCTCAGTCCTCCTCCAGTAACCCAAGCGCCACCCGGCGCCCAGCACTTACTCGACCTGCAGCGTGATGGGCTTAATCTTCACCTCCACCTTGTAGGAGGAGCCGGTGAGCAGCTTGATGGTGCGGTTCTGGCCGAAGCGCTGCCCGTCCACCTTAAAGAACACCGGACCATCGTTGGGTTGGATGCGCAGAGCGATGGAGAGGCGCACGAGGCCTGGCAGGTCCCCCATCGCTGAGCGAGGGGCTGGCGCAGCGACGCCGGGGGTCGGAGGACACAGCCGGCTGCGACCAAGTGGCTGAAGCGCGGTGGGCGGAGAGGAAGCGCGGGGAGGGAAAAGGAGGTGGTGAAAGGGAGGCTGCAACTAGGAGCCGTCACCGCCCTCCGCCCGGGCTTTCGAGCAGCAGCTCCGGAGCCTGTGTCCCCCAGCCGCACTGGGCGAGGAAGCGGGCCCCAGACACTGCTCGGAGAGCGCGAGCTGCCCCATCCCCCGCTCTTCTTGCTGAGCCCTCCACGCACGCAAGGGCTCGCTGAGACCCGCTGGCACCGAGCAGATCGGCACAGCACAGCTGGGGGCGAGAGAGTTAATCCCGCTTACGCACCACAATCCCCTTCAACTGGGGAAGCGGACCTTTAGGCTCCTCCTAGAACAGCACCGGGCGGGAGGAGAGGATGTGGGGGACGGTAGGCATTGGGATAAGGCGACTGCTATACCAAGGAGCAAGACCCTCAGAATCTAGATCGCCTGGGTCAACCGGAGGGTGTGGATTCTGCTGCTGGCAGATCTGGCCCCAGCCAAGCAGGAGAAGGCTGAGAGGAGAAGGGGGGGGGGGGGGCGAGAGAGGGGAAGTGGCTTAGGAAACTGCTAGTTCGTGATTTAAATTTCAGGAAATAAGTCTTTCCAAAGCTCAAGGGAAATGGCCGAGGGAAGGCGCAGTTCCATATAATGGGGGCTGAGAGCCACACTGGATTAGGAATGCACTAACAAGAAGGAGCGACACCTTCTTGTAGGTGTGTATTTCCATTATACATATCTTATCTCAAGAATGACACGGTGTAATTAGACACATATATGTACACATCTCGAAGGATGAGCTATTAACCCTGTAAAAGGCAACTGGCATGTGCCTGAGGCATTGCTTGTGACAAAGGCCAAGAGGAGGTATGGATTACTGGCAAAGCACCCCATGTGTCACCTCACAAGTTTAGATTTGCATATTAAGTGTGATTTGAAAGTCCTTGGGTAGAAACTGGTCGACAATTGGTGATTCGGGGAACTAAGCGTATTGGGGCTGGAAATGGCTTCAGAAGGCCGAGATCTAAATACCTGCTTCAGCACCACCTAGGTGGATAGTACCAGAGCCTCTGAGCACACCTGGGAAATACAGGAGCAGATTAGTGAGATCAGTCATAGATGGATGGGTCTGTGAGTTTTTATTCACGTAGGTCAGACTGCTTTTCTTTAAAAATAATAAGCTATGTATATTGTGTATAAATATGTATGTGATATTGGTGTTCATCACAAATTCGTTGCAAAAATAAAAATCTAAAAGCAATGTCACCCAATAAAGAAATGCATGACTATACTACAGAATTTTATTCAACTATTAAAATAGCGAGTTATATTTGACATCGACAAACACATATGCTAAAGCTTAAAGATGAAAGTGGTTGGCTGGAGAACTGTGGAAGCCTCAGAGCCGGATTTTTCTTTTGTTGGTTGCTGTATTCCCAGCATGCACATAAGAATTCCCAGTCCATAGTAGGTGTTTCATAAATATTTATTCAATTAAATTGGTGTCCTTTGAAACAGTCATATTTAAATTATTCCATATTTTTAAAGTAATTAGATCCATGTGATTTACCTGGAATAAGGGTAAAAAGAAAAAAAAATCTAGTTGCAAATAGCATCCATAGTATTTTAACAGGATGGAAAAAAATTTAAGACACATAACATTTTAAAATATTTTTATTACTACTTTTAAAAGAATGAGAGTATACACAGTAAAATTGATATTGGTTACTTTGGTGGTTGTGTAGTGAAAAGAGGGTGAATATCCTTTGGGAACTAAAAACATTTTTAGAAATTTTGCTTTTTTCCCTTTCAACCTTTTGTTCAGTATCCCACAGTTTCAAACAAGCTCCTTTCTACCTGTGTATTGAAAAATGAACTTGGAGTAAGATGTTTCCATTTTTAAATCTGGCTCAACCATTTAATTGTTTCCTTATGCAAAGCTCTTAACATCTTTGTGTTTCAACTTTCATTATTTATAAAATGGGGATTAAAGTGCTTCTTTCCCAACATTGTGAGAATTAAATGAGAAAGAAAATGATAATAAACTGCTTTTCAAATATGAGGTATTGGCTAGGCATGACACATGTCTGTAATCCCAGGAGCTCAGGAGTTAAGGCAGGAGGACTGCAAGTTAAAGCCAGCCTCAGCAAGAGCGAGGTGCTAACCAACTCACTGAGACCCTGTCTCTAAATAAAATACAAAATAGGGCTGGAGATGGGCCTCAGTGGCCAAGTGCCCCTGAATTCAATCCCTGGTACCCCCCCAAAAATATGAGGTGTTATTAATGCTGGACAACATCCATTAGGAATCATATTTTCAGAAACATTCAATGTGATGTCTTTGGATTTAATTAGTGTAAAAGTAACTGGAAAATTTCCATCGCTAATACCTATGTGCAAAGAATATGGGTATGGTGTCTAATGGATCTGTGTTTAAACCAGATCTGCTGATTATATAATGCTATATACATTAGCCTCTCAGAGCGCCGTTGTTCCTTTGTAAAATGATGAGGATGATATATATGAAACTCATAGAATCAAATGAGTAAAATTCAGAAGACTATCATTCACATATAGGCGCTAATTAAATTGTAGTTATTTTTATTTAAAACATCCTATGTATTTTTAATATCCTAGTCCTTTCAGCCTTATGTTGATTCATTAGTTAATGAATTTATACAATAAGACAACCATTATTACCACTCTTTTGGAAATGGGAAATGGAGCCCAAGTCCAAATGGACTTGATTATCATTCAGAGGAGTCAGATGCTATGGTTTGAATGTTTGTGTTTATCCCCAAATTCATAGGTTGAGACTTAATCCTCATTAGCATTAAGAGGTGGAGCCTTTAGGAGGTGGTTAGGTCCTGACAGTGGTCCTCAAGAATGGGATTAGTGCCCTTATAAATGAGGACTGAGGAAACCTGTATGACCCCTTCTACCATGTGAGTAAGAAAGTACCATCTTATGCAGCAGAAGAGAGTGAGCTCTCACCAGACACTAAATTGCTGGTGCCTTGACTTTGGACTTCTCAAACTCCAGACCTGTGAGCAATAAATTTCTGCTTATTAATTACCCTGTCTAAGGTATTTTATAATAGCAGCCTGAATGGACTAAGACATCAGGCTAACAATAGTTCCATCGCCAGTCCCAGTCTCTGTGCTAAATTCATATTACAGGCTTGACAAAGCAATTAGCATTTATGACATGGAGTATGTGTGTGTGGGCACACATGCATGCATATATTAAAAATAAAGTAGTTAAGTGTGCTGGAATAGAATCACACACAGAACTATGTATTGAGTCATAATGTATGTTGGGCTTGAATCTCACACACACACACACACACACACACACATGCAGAGTCAATTGCAGCACACTTTACTTTTTCATTCATGTCTACCTTCAGGTGTGGTTTAATATCTGCAAGAGTTGGCTCCTTATTTTTATTTCTGAATTTAACATCAATGATTTCCACGCCCCCCCCCAGATTTATTGAGGTTTAATTGACTAAAAAAAATGTGTATAATTAAAGAATACCACATGATGATTCGGTACACATGAACTTTGTGAGATGATCACTACAATTAAGTTAATCACCTCATTCACCCCCTCACCCGATCAGTGTCAATGATTTTGAAATGACTTCCCCAGCCTCACAATGCATTTCTATCAATGCATTTCCATTGTAACCAGCATACTTTACATATATTAAACTTTCTCTCCTGGTCTGAATTTGATAGACTTGAAGACAAACCTTCTTCTTGGACTCATGCTGAGGAGCCCAGACTCTTCTAGGCCCAAAGGCTCTCATAGCCATAGTGATGAGCAATAGGCTTCCTGTTTGTCCCTGAGACTCCTGGGAGGAATCTGGTTATCTCCTCACACAGGGAGGGGCCAGGCAGGATCCACTTCTTGGATCAGTAGCAGTGATCCTAATATCTGGTCACATTTGCCTTTATTGTGGACCAATTCATTATAGAAATTTACATTCCAAATAAAACTTACACTCTCTTCTTCTTCTTTTTTTTTTTCCCTCTGGATATTATTTGAGTAACCAGAATAGCCTCACTTACTTGTACTCCACCAATGTAAGTAAATATTCAATTAAAACTAGATTCCAATAAAGATGATTTTAAACTTTTTCTGTTCTTGACACTTTTTGCTATGCTGAATGGCCAGTGTCCCATGGAGAAAGAATATAACTATCCTTACAGTAGATGCAAATACCTCTACTAAAAACCACTACCACACTGATACTCATCATTTTATACTTCAGGCTCAAACATTTTTCTAAGCTCTCAATTCAGATAGCAACTTCCAATACATATCCATACTTAGGTGTTTAGTAGGTATCCCAATCTTTACATGGCCAAAAGAGAATTCTTAATTCTTTCACTTCAAACTTATTTATCTTAATAAAAAAATACCGCATTTGACTCAGTTGTTCAGGTAAAAAGTGTGAAGTCCTTCTTGAATCCTTTCTTTTTACCCATCAGGAAGTCCTACGAGGTCTTCACAATCAGTCCTGCCTCCATCACTTCTTACCATTTTCACTCTTACCACTCAAGAGAAGGCCACTGTCATTCCTCACACAGTGCTACCCATGTCATCCTGGTGTTTTTGATTCTGCTTTTTACCTTACCGTCTATTGTAAATATCACCTCATCCAGGCCGGATCCTGTCTGCCCCATAATTGGATGGTTCCCTGAAGAGTTTCACAGACAAACAGAAGCCTATTACTTATTGCCATGGCTACAAGATCCTTCCAGGCTTAGGAAGAAAGGGCCTGGGCTCCTTCCTCCACATGGGTCCAGGAGGAAGGTTTGTCTTCAGTGTAGAAAATTAAATTAGGAGAGAAAACCTAATAGGGTGCCTAAGGGCACTGGATAGGGTGGGCATCATAACCCACACTCTTGTCCTACCTTGCTTTTCTTCAGAGCACATATCACCCATTGAAAATGTAAGATAAACTTGCCTTCATGAATGTTGATCTCTGTAGATCAGAGATTCTAACCTATTTTCTTGGTACTTAGAACATCCCAGTAAATAGGGGCATTAATAATTATTGAATGAATGAATAGATAAGTTAATTCTTCAATGTTATTTGTAATTCTACCCATCTATCAAGGTGCAAGTTAAGTACAACCT